TATGCAATTGTCAAAAATAAGGAAAGTAACTACAGCATTTAAAATAAATATTATTTATAAAAGAGAATTTATTAATTGTTCAAATAAAGCTAGAATAATGGAAATGAATATTGTATAAAAAAAACGGATTTAAATTAGTTATTAATTAAATTACCATGAAGTTGGTCATCTTGATTTTGATTCTAACAATAATAGGTAGCTAAGCTCAAACATCTCTTAGAGGCAAAAACAAATTTGGTATGGTTGGCCATAATTAAGACTAGAGTAAAACGATGAATAAATATAAATGAACAATGAATATAGCCCAGAACTATAAGAATATTCATTATTTATGCAATTAACTAAGCCATTATATGATATAGCACCCATGGATGTTATGTTGCTAAACCATGAAATGGAAATAGCTAGAATGATGGGTTCACCAGGAATAACTTCGATGAATTATGTACTTGAAGAATCACCATTTAGTCCTGCTTGGTGACATATATTAAAAGCCTACATTTGATATTTCCTATTTCATTATAGAATCAATATCGTAAAACATCCTTATATTAAAACTGTATTAAAGTCAGTTTATAATTATATTTATTACTTAAGGATAGAATCTTATCAAATCATTAAAGATAAATAATTTGTTTTTGTAGTCAATTTATTTCCTTATTATTTATGAGCTTAAAGATCCTTGAATATATAACTTAAATTAGATAAATAATAGCAGCTTGAAATCTGCAATAAATATAATTGGGCTCAACGTCTTTCTAAACTAAAACAAAATTTAATAAAATTTTTACAGGTAATTATTTATTTTATTAGTTTTATTATTAAAATTTAGTGAATTTTCGAAGCCATTTGAAACATGTAAATATATGAAACTTCTGCAATAAATCTGTTAGTAAATCTATATTAATAGAACTTAATTAATTGAGAACTAAAGATAGTATGATGAAAAAATTTAAGAATTTATTAAAGAAATTAAAAAAAAAAATGTGAAGATTTTAAAATTGATTTATTATAAATGAGACATTGATTTAGAAAATCAAAATTTCAGTCAATAAAAAAAAAGGAAAGTTTTTGAATTTTTAAAGATGATTAAATGATTATTAGAATAGTTTGATTAATAACTAGTTAAAAGCAAGATTATCTATAAAAATATTTTTATTCTTTAATTTTAATAGTTATTGATTATTTAAAATGAATAATAATATAAGATAATAGTTAGCATAAATGAATAAAGGGATTGATAAAAAAAGAACTTCTTCATTTAATAAATAAACAATAAACTACACTTAAGATAGATGTGATACGTAATAAAAGCAATTTTATTGTCCAAAATCAAAAAAAGATGTGAAAAATATGATAAGTGATAATAAATTGAAATCTTCATATGAGAATACAACATTAATGATGCCTTAAAATGTATCATTGAAAAATGTTTTAACAGAGTTGGTTCATAAATCTGCAAAGAAATACTTAAAAAAACATATGAAAAAAACTCCTAGCACTTCTTTACATACTCCTGCTGACTTTACCATAAGAAAAACTGAATAGTAATCATACTTAATGAAGCAATAGTAATCAGTTATACACTAACAATCGTAATAAACATCGTATAGATCTTTGTTGTAGCATAATAAGCGGAATTAATGGATTGATCTAATAAATTAAAAGAGTTCAAATTATATACAAACAGATTAAATATCAACAACAGAATACAAGTACAAATATGTTAAATTATAGAACATAATTGGATATAATGTCAACAAATAATTTAGATTGGAAACATCCATATACATGCTAAAAAGAGTGTAGAAATAATGGAGAGATGTCTCATATAGAGAATTTAGAATTTGATTGTTGGAAAGAGCTTCTAATGAATCGATTAATATTACGTCAAGCTAAATGAATTTAATTAGTTAATTTGGGTGAAGTTATTGTGAATTATTAAAAGAATTTATTTTCTGATATATTGTAATATATATAATTTCTCAAATCTCCGATTTAAAATAAAATTTTTAAATAAATTAAATGTCTGACGACGAGAATCAATTTGAATAAGGAAATGCTGGATCATCTCACACTTACACTGAAAGTGCCGGGTCATTAAAGAAAGGAGGGTATGTAATGTTGAAAGGTCATCCTTGTAAGATTACCGATGTTTCAACATCAAAAGCAGGAAAGCATGGTCATGCTAAAGTAATTAAATAATTAATAAATTTAGGCATCAATTGTTGGAAAGGATATCTTTACAAATAAAACATATGAAGATTCAGCTCCAACATCTCACAATATTGATGTTCCATTTGTTACTAAAAAGGAATATACTGTAATGGATGTTTAAGCTGATGGATTCGTCATTCTTTTGAATGAAGATGGATCAACTAAGGAAGATCTTAAATTACCAGAAACAGAAGATGATTTCAAATTGGTTTAAGAAATTAGAGAATAATTTGATGCTGGCAAGTATATATATATATTAATATTTAAGGGATTTGTTAATTTCTGTTCTTTCAGCTATGGGAGAAGAGAAAATTGTTGGTTGTAGAGAAGCTTAAGATAAATGATTTACATTAAATACATTAGTAAATATTTTATTGTAAATATATTATCATTCATTTGCTACATCTTTAAAAAATGGATGTTTTAAAGCATCTTTAGCATTGATTCTCTTCTCAGGATTATACTATAACATCGATCTATAAATTAACTCTATTTATACTTTAATAAATCAAGATAATTATCTAAATCTTTTATTTAACTAAATTTTTCTTTAAGATTTTATTTTTTATACCTACATAATTCTTTAAATATCATTTTATTCTCAAAAGGTACTTTATTTATAAAGTATTCTATATCACTTTAACTAAAACTTCCCATCACTTTCAATATTGCAAATAATTGATCTCCTTCACTTTTTCCTTTAAACAGAGCCTCTTTTATCACCAATTCACCCATTATACAACCTAATGCCCAAATATCAACTGAAACTCCATATTTGGTCAAACATAATATTAATTCAGGAGCACGATAATATCTAGATACTATGTATGGAGTATTCTGTCCTTAAGATGTAATCTATTTAGAACTTCCAAAATCACATAACTTTACTACATCTTTATTGTTTATCAAAATATTCTCACTATTGATTTAAGTATTTAGTCTTACGGTTTTAAATCTCGATGAGCTATCCCTTTTTAATGAATGAACTATAATCCTTTTAAAATCTAATATATGTAATATTTTATTGTCAATTCAGAAAATGTCTTTCCTTATTTTATAAAAGTTTATATTCTATTTTCAAGATTATCTTCCATATATTCAAACACAATATTTTAAATTAATTTCCCCGCATCTGTCCTAGAATAAAATAAATCCTTCTTATATATTAAATTCATACAAGAATTTTAACTATATGTTCACATTCTTTAACTTCAAATAAAATTTCATATTCTCTACTTAAAAGTGTTCCAACCTTTTCAATTCTCTTTAGAGCAACTTTTTATTTTCTATTATGATCATATGCTTCGAATACATAACCTAAAATCATTGAAAATACTTACCAAAGCTACCTGAACCAGCAACTCGTATAATATCAAATGATGGTAATTTTTAGTGTGTCTAACTCATATATAATTTAATTTTCTAATTCTATTTTATTAGTATTCTTGGATGCTTTATTTAAAAAGATAAGAATGATATTTCATAATATATACATAAAAAGAATTTCATTTTAATTCATGTTCATACCATTTTCTTAGATGCAATGATTTTTATTTTACTAAATAATTAAATGTATATTTTCCAGTTTCTTTATATCTGTTTTTATACTATTTAGAAGTATTTATGAGTTCAAAACCTTTAATTACATTATGAAAATTATTATGTGGCATATATTCTTAATAAATTTTGATTTAATCAATGTTAATGTGATGAAATTGTAACTTTGTTTAAAATTCTTAGAGCATGTCTTTATTTTATTCTATATATAAAGATTCTTCACCTTAAATAAGAAATTTTGAAGGAGTAGTTTTTTTTTTTTCAAAATTTTCTTTAGATGTTATAATTTAGATGTGTTTATCTGAAGGAAGCATATCCTTTTCTGAAATAACTGTATTAGAAATAGATATCATTTAATGAGGTTTCTTTATAGATTTTTTCCTAAAATTAACTCTGGAGTTGTAATCAGGAGACATATATCTAGATTATTCATCCTCAGAATTGATTTAGCATTCAGATTAAAATTTATTTAAAGAATCCTAAATTGTTTTTAACATTCTTCTTGTATTTATTTTATCACCTTACCTATGAAAATATGTTCTTTTTTGTATCTTATTTTTAATGGTTGATTTCTTTATCATTCCCTCAATATCAGGTTGATAAGTAAGTAAAGGACAATTAATATTCAAATGTGAACTTCTATTGCATTGATTACAATTAAGCAATATAGAATTATAATTTTAATACAATAGAATCTTATCCTTTATATGATTAAATCTTTCCAAGTCTTTTTTTTCATCTTTTATTAATTTTAAAAAGTTAGATCTATGAATCTATACTACTTCACTTGATGTTCTACTAAATGCACATGTTTTTGTTGGAAATCCAGTAAAAAATTAATATTCTCCAAATGTTTATCCTTTTTTTACAGTTTATATAATTTATTGACTCTATTCCTCACAAATATCAATAATTCCTTCCTTTACAAAATATCTCTAAATATTTAATAATTATTACAAGGATTAATCATCAATTTCATATTAATGATATACATATTCTTCTGGTTAAAACAGTAATCGATTCATTTTTTATGTTAATGCATGTTAAGTTAACTTTGAAAATTAGTCTGAAAATATTTTAATAGATTTCATAATTTTTTAAGATATATTTTAATTAAGTTCATCTCTTAATCCTTTTGGTAATTCTTAAATAGTTTTATTAATAAATTCAATCTTTTCATAATTCATATTCGTCATTTTATGTTTTAAATAATTTCGAATTCTAAATTATAATGAAAGATCAACTTAATTATGATTCATATAATTATTTAATTACAATATTGAACGTCTAAATATTTTTATAAATTTAAATAATTACTTTTAATTTTTATTTTATTCATAAAGATTTCTTAAAATAATCCCTATTGAATTCATTGAATATGCAAATAAAAAACTAGAAAATAACATCATTAAATTAACAAATAACATCTCTCCTTAATTTTCAGGTGTAATATCTCCATATCCTACAGTAGTAATTGTCATTGTTGCCCAATAGAATGATGTATGATATCTAATCCATACAGATTCATGTCTTATTTATCTTTAAATCAACCATGTTAATTCATTTGATTCTGTTATTACTCCTACATAATGAAAAAGACAAGCCATAAAATGGGCAAAAAAATATATAGATAAAATTAAAGTTAACAAATCTGCAGCATTACTTAATGTATGCTTTAAATAAATATTTTCCATTTTTGTATTAGTTCTCTTTAATTTTATCAAAACAATTATATTTTACAAAATTAATAATATTTACTTTGATGAATTAAATTCTTTAAGAATGTTTGGATAAATCCCAATCCATAACATTAAAGAGACTATTTCAAATATTGCTTATTTGTTAACGTATTAAAACATAATTTGCTTTCGATCTACTATTACTTCCCCTTATTCTATATATGCTCTATTAATTGCCAATAAATTATCTATTAATAAATGTGTTATTAGTCCGATAATTATTTTTGGAAATGAATATTCATCAAAAGAAAAACTTAAAAGGAATGGACAAATCCATAAAGCTAATACATTTGCCAATAAAGTTATTAGATCCCAAAAATACAAAAAAGGATTTTATGGTAATAAAATTCGAGATTATAATTTAGTTTAACCATATTCTATCTTAATATATCAAAATTTATACTCTATAAAAATCTAAATATTTGAGGCGAAATATATTTTTCTTATGATAAGATTTTAGTTTTCAATCCATTTGGAAGTATATATGAGTTAAAAAACAAATTTTATTTGAATTTTTATATTAATCGATTTTTTCTTACAAGTTTCATAAATGCCTCATTTTCATCAATCTTAAGATTTGTCCTTTCCTCTAACTTAGGCTAATTATTCTAAGATGAATTTATAATTCTTGTTAATCTCTATAACCTCTATTTACTGACAAAATAACGATTAGTTTAAATATGAGGACTTTCAATTGATCTTAAAGATTCTTAAGAATCTAAGTGATGCTTCTAATATTAAGTTAAATCAGCTATTTAAGTTATTTAAGGGCCAAAAATTTGTTATTCTAAAATAACTTAATCTTCGATCATTTATAATTAATGATATATATTTATTATTTGCTAATAGTTACCAAAAATAACTAAATAAACAATCCTCAAAAATTTAAATTATCTCAATTATTTCAATTTAATATCTCTTCTAAATTTTTTTATTTATTATAAATATTTTAATAATTCCATTAAACTTAAAGCTATATTCAAAAAATGGGTTGCTCTATAAGAAAGTCGAAACAAAGACAAAGGGATGATATTGATTAATTAGAACAATTGATTCAATCAGATTGTCTTGGAAACGAATAAAATTTTATTCTTGTGAAAAATCCAATCATAATGAGAAGAAATTTTAGTAAAGAAAGCCGAAAATTATCAGATTCAAAACCTATATGATTATTGACTATATTCCTATCTTTCTGTTAATAGTAAATTCTTTTTAAACTTATTCTATTTTCCTAAAAATAACTCGATTGACTTAAATCTAATAATCTTTTCTATGAATTTCTAAATCAAATAAAGATATTCTAGACAATAAAACATCTAATTCACTAATTATAATTCCTAATTAAGCTTTTTATTTATCTGTATAATCTCAAATATTCTTCTTTGATCAATCAACAATTTTTATATTTTAACATACATTATTCTAACAGTATTTTTAGGTTTATTAAGAGCATATAATTAAAAGATGTTAATTTTTAAAGACATTGAATTGGTTTTGAGAACATATCTTAAAAGAATATGAAGTATTAATTATACAAGAGTTTAATTGCATAAAATTATTTACTCGATTAGTATTACATATCTTTCTATTTAATGAGGAGCTAGCTTTAAAATAAAATAAAATTTTGTAAGATATGATAAATTACATAATATTGAAAACATTAAATTAAATATAATAATTTATGCTAAAATCAATTGTAAGAGTTTCATACAAGATAGGAATTAATTCATGTACCTTTTTATAATAATATAGAATTATAGTAATTACCTGTTTATTCATCAGCTATTTAAGCATTATTCTAAAATGAATATGGAAAGGCACAAGAATATTTATAATAACTAAAATAATAAGTAGAAAATTTATAGGATCCAAATGCAACATAAGAAGTTTTGGATTTATTTGTTTAATTATATAAACAAAATAAAAATTACAAAGAATTAATATCAATATAAGAAGAATAATTTTTTACTTATTTGTCAATGAATTCTATTTATAATGAAGATAATTCAGAATCTTTGAAAGAATTATTTAGATCTTATATTGAATTTGATCCAAAAAGAGGTCAAGCTATGTTAGCATTTTTGTAAGAGAAAGTTGATGAAATAATTCCACTTGGATTTTAGAAAGAATTTTACACATATGCAGGAGTAAAGATTAGAAATATTTTTAGACTTTAGAATTACTTAATAAAAATTATGAAAATTCATAAAAATTATTGAGTAATGCTTTAGATTCAGGAACAAAAGGTGATTTAGTAGGTATAAATAAATTATTGATTTTTAGGAATGTGTTTAAATAATTAAGTTATCTTATCGGAACTTAATTTGGAAGGGGAAATATAAAAATTAAAAGGAGATTTCGATGCATTTTGTTAATAAAATATAAAGAATCTTTTAGATGCAATCATTACTTTTGAATTAAATTCTGTATCAGAGAATAAAAAAGAACTTTATTATTTATACAAACTTATTGAATAAACTGAAGTAATTATGAGATTATAAAAAAGACATTTATTGATAAGAAAGAGATAAATACGATTATAAATGGAACATAGATTATAAATTAAAATTCTTATTAAGTAATATTTAATTTGATTGATTTATTAATTAATCATCAATATCCAGATGTAATAAAGAATTATAAATTATTATAGAAAGCTACAGCTTGGATTAAAGTTGTTTTTAAAAATAAAACATAGAATCCAAATTTGAACATAAAGAGTTTCGGAAGATCTCTATTGTAATATGCTAAGATATCAATGATTGATAACAAAATTAATTAAGCTGAGACAGTTCTATTGGATTTTTTGAATTCTCAGTAACCTAGACTCTCATTTTTGTAGATGATGGGATTAACTTAATATAACCTATTATTAAAGACAGAAAATAGATAATATGAAGCAGATTGTAATATTATAAATTTATTTAGCATATGAGAAATAAGCATTAAATATTTCCTCTAAATTAAGTCCAACATCATATATTAGAGAGCAAATTATATTATTATGAGTTTATAATGTTTATAGATTATAATTAAAATTTATTAATTATATGTATAGTATATTATATTATACAAAATTAAAGTATCAATCAATTAAATATAATATTTAATTGATATGAACTAATATTTAGTTTAAAAAACTCATACGACTTTTGTTCTTTTTCTGAGTTTCTTGTTTTCTTTTAATAAAGCTATGTTGATAGAAATCAGTAAGCTTAATTAAGTCATATATGTAATATCCAATTAATGATTTATAGAGCAATAAGAAATCTGAATGTTAAGGATTCCATAGATCACATTATCCCCAAGGATATTGTCTTCCTTAAATCTTTTTGCCTTATTCATTGTAATATTCATATGTAGATGCAATAACCATGAAAGGGGAACATTATCCGAACTCTCCTTTAATAAGTTATTATTTAAATGATTCATCATTAATTTTGAGACAATCATATAAATCTATATTGAATTCTTTGAAAATCTTATTGTATCTTTATTTTAATTCAAGAACTTCAGATTTTGTATATTAATCACCTCTGGCTATGATTGGAATTACATTTACTAAATTAGATAACTTTTGTAAATATTAGATATCCTCATTAAAGAAAGCAGGTCCACTTAGAAAGTAAAGACATAAATGGATCTATAGAATATTTTGAAGAATAGCTTACTCTTTCGTCATTTACTAAATTTGACATTTAAGAATATAGTGTTTTATTTAGATAAGCATACTTATTTCTTCGAATTTATGTTTTAAACTTAAATAAAGATTGTTAAATACCTTTTAATCTATTAAATGTCTAATATTCTTAAACCATTCTTTTTAGTCATTTTTTTTAAAACCTATTGTATCGAAAATGTTTAAATAAACAATTTAATTATCATATTCTATTACACCCATTGATTCTTAAACTTGATTACTTTCATATACATTTCCCTAAAATAATCTTGTTATTGGTTTCTAAATAAATAGTTTTTTTAAGAATTTTACTTTATTTAGTAAAACATTAACAAAAGTAGTTTTTCCAGTTCCACATTGTCCAACAATCAATAGATTTAATGTGATTTGATTCTTTTATGATTAGAAAGATAGTGAGAATTCATTTTTTTCAATCTAGGATTAATCATATGAAATTTAAACTAAGGGATCTTAGAATTCTTTATTTTCAATTTTTGCACTTGGAATCCTTATTTCTTCTTATGAAGAGATAGGAAATATAGATTTCCTTCAAGATTATTTCAAAAGTTACGTAGTATGACTGTTATCAAAGTCAATTTATTTATAATTGCTGTGAGTAAATAAGAAACGTTATTACATCCATTTACATTAGATATTTTCATCATTTTTATGATTTTTTTAAGGAATAGGAGAATCACTTGAGAATAGATCAATCATTTTATTTTTATTTTATTTTCAAAATAACAATCACATTATAAAAATTATATAAAAAGTTGAAAATTATTCGGTTTATTTTTATCATAATACTAACTAAAAATAGAAAATAGATAATAAAACTAATAGTTTAGTTAATAAAAAAGAAATAAAAACATATTAGAATAAAATATAATTATATCAAAAAATATATAGAGAAGAAAATTAAAGAATGTAAATTTCTAATTTTGTTTTTTAATAAATTCAATAATTTTTAATTCTTTTGATTGTTGGTTGAGATTTATCAATAGATTTTTTTCTACCTCTAGTTTTTTATTTATCATTATTAAGTGATGTTTTAACATCGATTTCATAATCCATTCTATCAACCTTTTTTTTCTTCATTTTATCAGTACCATGTAGCATTGAATTTAATTTAGGTTATCCTTTATATTTGAATTATGCTTCTTAATATTCTGGTTTAAGTTCTTATTAAATTTAACATTTAGTTTTTCCTGTATATGGACAACAGAATTCTTAATTACAATTAGTAGGTTATGATTATAATAAGAAATAAAAACAATGATATCTATATTTCATAGATATTAATAAACTTTTATGATTAAGCTTATTTTAAACACAATCTAAACATAAATATTCTTCATTGTCATGATAAAAGTATAGAAATATTTCATGTTCACATTTAGAGCATAATTATACTTCTTTACAACATTCAACTAATTAAGAAGATGGTGGATCAATAGTATGTAATTTTCTATTTTCTTAATCAAAAAAGTTCTAAAGTTCTAATTAAATTCTTTCAATAGTCATTTAAGATAGAGATTTTTCATGAATATATAAATCTAACATTAAATTTTTATATGGAATAACAGTTCTATAATTAATTTCCTTGTTTAATTTATGTCTTTCACTCATAGCTTCAAGTGTCATATCATCTAAAGCAACTTGATTCCAAGCAGTATTAATAGTTTAACCTAATGATTTAACCCAATGTAAACAACCTGCACCTAATATAACAACATCACCTTTCTTTTATAATGTATATCTAAATGGTATTCCATATTTTAAAAAGAATTCTGGTTCTTTAAACCATAATCCTTCATTTCTGAATATATCAGTATCATATAATTCTTATACTTTTTATCTTAATTTCTAAACATTCTCATTATCAACTGTAATCCAAACACAATCTGCTGGACCATGATTTATATTTATTGCATTTACACTTAAATTCTCTTAATGTCCACCTGTCCATACTCCTTCTGTTTTTATATATATTTAAGGTATATTTACACCATCAATCTCTTATCTTAAATAACTTAAACCATCATTCTCTCCTTACGGTCTTAAACATTTTGGTAAAAACTATTTTAAATGATTTATTTCTTTATCCCAACCTTACATATTTACATTTACTGCAAATAATCTTTAATCTGCTTAAAGTCCTTCCTTTTTTATAAATTTCTATGGATCATTAAGATAATCTACATAATCCATTATTTTCATTCCTTCTAATTATTAATTTATTTTGCATGGTAAAAATGAATCATATCCAGGTTA